AAGCATTCTTACTTTACAGCATTTTTTCACACCTGCCTAAGACTTTTGCACAGTACTGTATGTCTTAGAGTTTACCACATTTAAGTGTAAAACATGCTCACAGCATTCTGGACTAAGTTCCTTCTTCATCTGATTGATTCTTCCAGTTGCTGTGTGGCTTTTACCAAGTTATTTATTTATGGCTATCCATTCTGTACTAGTAGATTGAGCAAATCTAGCCATTAAAATACATATTAATTTGTGTAAAGATTAACTTCAGCATCTCTTTAGCAGTGGTTTGGATTTTTGATATTCCTACAAGGTCATCATTTAGCTGTCCACTCTGAAATATAATTGTGATGGCATGATTTCAAGGTACTTAACATGGATTATATAGCCTCATTTAACCCCTCTTTTATAAATTCAATTAAGATGGGCAAAGCATTGTAAAAAGATGGATCTTTTCTCATTAAGCTAATGTTGATGCCATGATTAGGGACACTGGAGTCCTTGTAAAATTAATTTGAAGTAAATAACTTTAAGGTTTATTCTGATTTAAATTCATCCCAACTGCTGGTATTGATGTTATAAATGTATGCAACTCACAGCCAAGTACATATTTCATGCTAGCATAGTGAATGGATAACCCTCTGCAAGGCAATGGTGTAAGACAGTCTTCCCCTGTCTAGTACCACCCAAATGTAATGGGGCTACAATAGTCGGGGTTTCCAGCCAGTCTAGACACCATCTACAACAATAGAGAATTCTCAATTTGGAGTTCCACTGCTGCAACATATATAGAATAATTTCTTTCAGAGTTATAGTAGAGCAGTTCTATGGGTGAAATACATTTGGAGATCTGTTACAGTTCATGTTAATGATATTGGCAGTAACGAAGTTAATTAATTAACATTTTAACATTTTCCCTCCCCGTTTTCTTTTATTTTTTTTTAATCCTGTCTACATGCCATTCTTTTAAAGTGTCAAGGTTTTTTAGTGAAGTGCAGTATACTAAATTAAAAAAAAAATAGAGAGAACATGCTGCCACAATCTTAGTTTGGTAGTGTAATTATACCAGTACCATTTCCTGTTTTGGAGCTGTATCAACTTCCTATAGATAACTTAACTCTCCTTTAATTGGAAGCTATGAGCACGATACACCAAAATATTTCAGTGAAGTAAATGAAGATTCAAGGCAACTTGAATGTTACTGAAGAAAACTCTAAAGCTATTAATATTATAAACTGCATACCTTTTAAGAAGCCATTTATTCAATTGCTGTATACTGAAAATATTTGCTCAGGAAAAAGAGAAAAATAGAATCCATCCATCCATTCTGTGCATACTTTATAAACATATTTTACAAAATGGAACACAAATGGAAACCACCCTATCATACAGGAGATAATGCAGCATTCTGTAATTTAAAAGTTGCTCAGATCTGGCAAAAGATATTTGCCATTCCCAGTCAATCTAAAATTGTTTTCCTAGGTCCCGTTTATTTCTATAGGGAAGATGTAAGCATGTTTTTCATAACTGGCTGTTGGGATAGAAGAAGAGCTAATGGTAGACTCCCTTAAATGCAATCTTTTGACTGATTTAGACTGTGATTCTGGCTTCATTTCCCTAGAGGTCAGCCCCAGTGAATGTAATGGGTCTTCATTTTAAGTAAATATGCTTTGGATTGTTCTCTTAATCTTTTAGATTAAAGTAATTGTATCTGTAATTTGACAGCAGAAGGGCCTCTTTCAAACATAATAAGCTGTTTTATGTCTTCTGTGTTGTTTGTCTTGTCAATTTTGTATGGCTGCCAGCTAGCTTTAACTACAATTGTTTAAATATACTTGTCTTATTTAAACAGAATAATGGGCAGAATGGAGTGGTTGGAAAGAAAAAGAAAACAAAAGGAAAAAAGAGCCGAGGTAGCATGTCAGGTACCTCTACTGATGCTCTTTCTGCTGTGTTTTCTTCTCTTGTTCCCCCTGGTGATTTCTTCAAGCCGACGGCTTCTCCAGCACCTTCAGCTGACATGGCTCCCATCAGTTCTGGGTCTTCTACTTGGACTTCCTCAGGCCTCCCCTTTTCTTTTGTGTCCATGGCAACTGGGATGGGGCCTTCCTCTAGTGGGAGCCAGGCCACGGTGGCTTCAGTAGTCACCAGCACCTTACTGGCTGGCCTTGGATTTAGTAGTAGCGGCATTTCTTCTTTTCCTAGTACTGTGTGGCCAACACGGCTCCCAACCTCTGCCTCTACTAATAAACAGTCGGCCAGGCCAGTGGTGGCCACCACTGAGGCATTGTCTTCTCCAGGACCAGACAATGATTCTACTCTCACAAAAGACAATGAAGGAGCAGAGGATGGAGAGAAAGATGAAAAAAGTGAAAGTGAGGATGGTGAAAGAGAGCATGAAGAAGAGAGAGAAAAGGATTCAGAAAAAAAAGAAAAAAGTGATGTGACCGAAGCTGCTGAAATACAAGATAATAGTGAAGCTACAAACACCACTCTTGCTCCCAACAGAACTATGGAGGAGGGAGGGAATGAAACTATATCTGATCATGAGCAAAGCCAAAATATTATTCCAACAGGTAGGACTCCTGGAGGAGGAGAAGGAGTTACAGGAATAGACACTCAGTTCAAAACAGTCAGTTCCACCCAAGTGCCGACACTATTCATAAATGAACAATATACTGGTGAAATTCCAAGAAGACCAGAAACAGCATCAACACCTTTACCAAAAGATAACAGATTTATTACCATTCATCCAGGTGAGTTGTTTTTGTGGAAGTAGTTTGATTTTTTTTTTATCACAACAAAAAAATCAATGCTTTTCAACTATTATCAGTTTGGGGGTTCATACTTTTATGTTATCTTATCTTAGAAAATATAAGTACCCGTTTCATATTTTATAACAGAAACAAATTTCCATACTGTGTTCCTAACAATACATTTTTATTGCATATATTAATTGACCAAGACAAAGACTAATTAGAAAAAAATAATAAAGGTTACATATATTTATTTGCTGAACAGAAAGTTCTGAAGCTTGGTATGTTTCTTCAGTTTCTTCTAATACGTTATTTGTATAGCTTATTGAACTTTTCCTCATTTCAGGTTTGCTCTTGCATTTATTGTGTTATTAATATAGGGTTATTCCTGTAAGATACAAAAATTATTTTCACAAAGCAGTCTTCATTTTAGTAATTTCAGTTACTACTAAATACAAGTCTTAAGCTTTTAGAATAATGATGGATAACATATTGCCATTAAGAAAATAGGAATAATAGTTCAGACTGAACAGTGGTGGACAGAAGAGCCCTAACAGTTGCCAAAAAATCAGAAGACTTCTTTGAAGAATCCAAATTAGAAGGAAAAATAGACCAATGACCAATGAGTGTGTAACAAACGGGGATGTTGAAGTATAGCTGGATTAGTATAAATGAAAAACTTATGAATAAGAGAGGGAAGACTTCCAAACAAACAGTAAGACTATTGGACGACCACAGTGGAAGAGGCAGGCACACTCATGGATGACAGGATAAATGTGTTCTTTACATTCATCTAAACAAGGAACTGTATAGGAGAGAGCTATTCTTGGGAGATGAATTGGAAGAAATGTTGTTCATCAAAGTAGCCACAAAAGAGATTTTGAAGGATGCTCACAGATTTAAAAAAGGGCAAGTCAAGGGGACTAGATGGCATTCTAAAAGAATTGGTCTATGAAAATGGCATATGGGCTCTGGCATCCAAGCTCCTCCTTCTGAGTCTTACTCATAGACATGCACATCCCTTTAACTGCCTATAAGTTTCATGTAGTCTGATCAGTCTATGGGGCTGATTATTAAAAGCCAAAGGTGAATATGGTTTAGGTAAATGCATGATTCCAGGAAAGAGTTTGATTCTGTAGAGCAGGGCAAAGAGTAGTTATTGAATTCCTAGTAATAATTAACTAAAGCCATGCCTGAGGATCTATGGATGAAATGACATCAGCCCAGAATATCTGAAAGAAGTATATGTGTCTTCAAAATACAACCCAGTCTTTGTCACTCTGTACAGAAGTTGTAATGAATGTAAGCAAAATTTGCATCACTGCTAATAAACCTCCAGAGGGCAGAGTAGGTTGTCTTGTAATTAACTATACAAATATTGCTTTTTCCCCCCCCCCCCCTCCCCACCCTTTTGTTTTTAGACTGTCTGCTTATAGCTAGAAAAGTATAAGCCATTTGGTGACATTTTAGATCGGGATTCTCCAAAGTGGTCAATATCAACCCCCAAGGGTCAACAGGACTATCCAAGGAGTCAATAATGTTGTTGTGATTACTATTAATGTAGCATTATTTTCATATAATGAATGTTTGGGGGTCAGTGAACAATCTGAAAGTCATGAAGGGGTCAGTGAGCTGAAGAGTTTGGGGGGCCCTGTTCTAGACTGACGAAGGTGTGCTTTCCATAAATTTTGAGTAGTGTCCAGTGCTAAATAATTATTACATGAAAAGCACATTATAGCCACAGCCTCCAAAGACATAAGCATATTACTATTCTGAGTTTAAGATGATCTCCTCCAAAAAGAAAGAAGCTGAGGGCAGGGGTGGAGGGGGGGAAGCACTCACAAAAATCCTATCCAGTGTCCAATTTACCACTCAGTAGAACGATGGCGAAAACCTCATCTTTCTATTGAGTTATTATAATACATTTTAAACAATGGCTGACATGTTGCAGTCTTGTTCTCCTTATGAAAAGGTGCCACAATCTTATCAACCTTGTTTTTTTGAAGGCTGATAAATCTTTAAATCTTAGGATCCACTGGGGGAAATGTTGTTGTTCCCACCACCTAGGAAGCAACGGATTTCAGCACATCCATCAGGCAACAATGAGCTTTCGGGCTGAATGGCCAGGGCCTAGCTGTTCAGGGTCTACTTGGATTTCAGTATAGTGTTTAAAACACTGCAGTACGGTTTTTAAAATAAGCTGGAGTTTGTGCAAAAAACTTTGGAGATAACCTCATTAGGATAATTAAGCATCTGTGCATGGAGGAGGTCCCCCTCTTTCTCCATATGTGGCAAGAATTATTAAGTTATCATTTCTTGTCATTCTTGAATATTTTTGCAGTGCAGCTTGTAGAAGCCTGCAGCCACTCTGGCAGTTTGCATGTAGGTAAACAAAAGAATCAGACCAGATTTTGCTGGCAGACTGTGTACACATAATATGACACTAAAGGGGGGGGAAAGGGGTTGCCAGTCTAAACAGGAAAAACATACTAAGGTGTACAGGGAAATGAGAGCCATACCTGTGACTAAATGGACAAGGGCTTATTTTATTGCTTCCTCTCATATTACAGTGAGTATTCAGCATTTACAGGCTTGTAAGACTCTGAAATGTCTAGGATTGTACTGAATGGTTTCTGCGGTGCTGGAAGCCACCTATCTTGATCTACTTCTATTTCACTGTTTATTAATTAGGACACAGAATTTCATCTATTGAAGAGGGATCTCTGGAAAAATGGATCTACTTGGCTGTATTTTGGATCCTAGTAATCTCTCATTCCATGCCTTCTATCTTAATTCTATTCCCTTAGAATTAAGCTTGTTTACTACCCTTATGTTTTTGGGGTAACCAGGTATGACTGAGGGAGGTTTTTATTCAAGGAAATATAATGGTGGTTTTCTGCATTGATCAAGTGCTCTGCTAAGTGCTATTATGTATGTAGAATAAATTCATGTTTGGCCCTGTGAGAGGTTAGATTCGTAGTGTTATCTAATACCTTTTTGATCTTTGTCCATAATGCTAGAGCATCTTGAATGGTCTTTCACAATTCTCTTCACTGGGATCCACAGAGGGTGAAAATTATTGAATGAAGTTTTCTTAGGGCCCTAAGTGGAAAAGTTACTAATTTCACTTTGTTGACAAATAGTTGTCAAAGTGTTGGTGATCATCCAAGGTAGAATTCTCTGAGGCCGAAACACTGTGTGCATGTGTGTGTGTGTGCGTGTCTACGCATACATACATACATTCATACATACATACATATATTCATTCTCCTCCATTCTCTTCCTGGGATGAATTCCAAGCCAGCAAAAGGCAAACTGAATTAATGTACCAGTGACATATGCCATCAAAAAGTGTTTGCATTCCTTAGCAAAACTGGAGTTTCCTCACCCTTAAAAAATGGGCAAAGTTACAAAAAACGTACAGGATATTTATTTATTGCCTCTGAATTGTCTTTATTTAAAATTGAAAACTAAAAAGGCTAGGCTTTTATTAATGTTTGGCTGTTGGAATGCAGAGATCTAGAAAAAAGCATGCTTTGCTGTTTATTTCACACATTCTTTTGAATATCCTACAACAGGCTGCTTTTTTTATAGGTTTGTCAGTGATGGACCCATGTTGGGAGCCCGAGGGGACCTCCAGCAACTTCTCCAGGAATTGTTTTATATTCTTTGTTGTATTATCTCTATATGCATGCTAAAATACTATCAGATTTGTTTTAGAAAAGCAATTGTCACCTATGTCCACCAATGTAAATGTCATGTTATGTTTCTCTCTAACTTTCTTTCAAGATATATGTTTGTGGTGTGTGTGTGTGTGTGTGTGTGTGTAAACAGGTATAGAGATAGAGATGTATTGTATAACCAGAAAGGGTTAGGCCTATGTCTCTCATAGCAGTGGCCGTGTGGCATGCTTGGGGGCACTCCATCTGGAATGCCAGCAAATAGAGTTTTTGCTGGCTTGGGCTGTTCCCCACTTTCCTCAAAGATGCAGTTCTCATAGCTGAGTCCACACAGGCCAGAGACTTCACATCCAGGTGTAACAGGAAGCTCCCCTCCACACACACATGCTCCACCATGTTTGCAAAAAAATGTCACACATAAATTTTAATTTTGAAAAATTCAAGGAGGCCAAAAGTAGCAATGCTTCTGCTTTTGCTGCTGATGCTGAAAATTGGTGACATGTTTTCCTGATGTTTTGAAGCAGAAGACACATGAAAATGGCAGTATAAGGCCCCAAATGGGTTTACTATCATTTTAAAGAACATTGAAAACATCTGTAGCAGCCTTTAAAACAGGGAAGCAGTTGGGTTTCTCTCATCAAAGAAGCCATCCCCTGATTTGATAGTATTAAACTATTTCCATCCAGTCTTCCAACTTTTTTTTTTTTTTTAGGAAGGATTGTGGAAAAAGGGGCTGGACTACCTGGGATGAAGGAGTTTATTTTGTTCCTTTTTATTCAGCATTGAATAGAGGAAATGCAGCTCTTCTGGTCCTGTTTAGAGTTCTCACTGGCATTTGATACAGTTGACCCTAATATCTCCCTGAATTGTCTGTGAAGTATGGGAGTTGGGGCACTGCAGTGGTTCTACTCCTTCTTGACTGGGTAGTTCCAGTTTATAAGCCTGCGGGATGAGTGATCAAACTCCTGATCACTATTATATAGGGTGCCATAGGGTTTGGCTCTCTCCCCCATTTTTAAACATCTATATGAAACCACTGGGGCAAGTCATGCAGGGTTTCAAGTGAGGTGTCATCAATACATTGATGATAATCAATCATATATCTCCAATCTAGGCCAGGCAGCATATGCAACAGAGGTCCTTACTTGATATCTGGAGGCAGTGAGGGACCAGATGAGACAAAGCTAGTTGAAATTGAATCCCAGCAAGATGGACTTGCTATTGTCAAGAAACCATTTGAGGTCCCTTATACAGACTCTTGGTAGAGTCTCACTCCCCCTGAAAGAACAGATCTATGATTTGAGGATCTCATGGTTTACA